GTGCGCACGTGGCAGGCAGGCACAGGGCGGCCCGTTGCGATGCTCCGCCATCCGCGGCCGTGCGGGGCTGGGCGGCCCCGAGGTGGCCCGGGGGAGCAGAGAGGACGTGGGGCGGCCCGATGGCGGGCGGTGGGCGCCGGGCGAACGCGGGGAGGCCGATGGCGGGCGGCCGTTGTTGGGCGGTGGGATTGCGCTGACGCCATCTTGGGTTGTTTGTGCCGCAGGTTGGAGCGCTCGGAGCCCGGCCCGGAACCATGGTGAGGAGGGGGCGCTTGGGAGGGTGGCCGGGAGCCGCACAGGCCTAACGTTCTGCCTCCGCCGTGGGTCGGGGGCTGCCCTGTCGGCCTGGCAGGAGGGGAGCGGGGGGTCCCTGTTATTGCCTGGCTCCGGGCAGGGTGTGGGGCGAGGGTGCTGTCGGCGCCCTGCGGGGCTGGGGGGGACACGGTCCTGCTGTCGGAGGAGAGGCTCGCCCTGACCTGGCTGCCTCGTCCCGTGGGGCAGCTCCTGCGGTGGGGGGCTTGGCTGTGGGAGTAGGGGCTCACAGGATGCCGGGGCGCTCGCACAAGCCGGTGCATGAGCCTGGGAGCGAGGTTTTGGCTGTTCTTTGTACACTGAGTCTCTGTTTTACTTTTCAGCCTCGCAAGATTGAGGAGATTAAAGACTTTCTGCTGACAGCCAGGAGGAAGGACGCGAAGTGTGAGTGCCCAGGCTGCTGCCTGTGTCTCTGGGGGAGGAGTGAGGCGGGATGCTCCGGCGCAGGAGCTGTTCTTCCCGGCCGGAGCAGAGCAGCGGGGCTGCGCGTCCCCAGGGAGGCTGAGGAGCTCCTTGGCTTGGAGGTGCTGAGGGACACCCGGTGCTGAGGCTTTGTCTGGGGACAGGGACGTTCGAAGCGGCTTTTGCTGAGCGTTGGCTGAGGTTGTTGCCTGTGAGCAAAGCCAGGCCGGGCAGAGGGACGCTGTGACGGACCCTGCCTGGGGGCCGCTGTCAGGGGCTCGGCTCCAGGACTGGGCTTCTCCAGGGGCTGCTGCTCCGCCACCAGCTTAGCCAGGCTTCTTCCGCCGCTCTTCACCCCTGAGCAGTTTGGCCAAGCCCCAGCTGCAGCTCACTGGAAGCTATTTGCAAATATCACCCTGTCTCTGACTTGCTGTAGTCTTTGAAAAGCTACAAGATGTCAGACGCTGGGGAGTTCCATCAGTGACAAGTGAATCACGCTCAAACCTGAGTTTCCTTTTGTTGCAAATACAAACACCGTTATAATTGAAACACTAGAAACGTCTTGTCTCAGTATTTAACAACGCGTGAAGAGTTTTTCCTCTTCTCTTGCTTATTTGGATTCAGCTGTCACGGGGAAGAGGCGCTTTCGTTCTGGAAATGTTTTGTTAACTCACCGGTGTGGGCGAGGAGGGATAGTTCAGCACGAAACGCTGTTGTAGCTGCTGACAGCCCCTCGCAAAGCGTTTCCGTGCCTTTCAGCTTGCTCCGGATTTTGCAACAGCTCTTGTAATGCTGAGCTGCAAGTGCCCTGTGGCGGGGAAGGAGAGGAACTGCCCACGGCTCTGAGCGAGCTGCTTAGATAAAATGGCCTTAGGAGGGTGTAAAGGAGAAGGGGAAGCGCTGGCCGCAGCGTTGGGAAGCCGCGTTACGAGCTCCAGCGCAGAGCTGCTCTGGCGGAGCTGTTGGGTTGCAGAAGCTGACACGGGTCAATAACAAGGGCGGTGCGAACGGTCGGGCTCCGTTGAAAACGCGCGATGCGGTAAATTTTTCACGTCGCTTGTTGTAAACCACTGCTGCGAAGCGAAGCGGCCTCAAAATAAAGCTGTGGGCTTCGAGAAAGCCGCGCGGCGCCTCTGCGAGACGGCGGGCTGAGCCCTCGGACTGGGGCAGTACCTGTTGGCGACGCCACCGGTTCTTGTGGTGTAGGAAACAAACAAAAAAAAAACCAACTTATTTTGGATTTTCCTCAGTGCTGGCGGGCCAGGCAGGGCCGTAATCGTCCTCCCGCCTCGGGTGAGGAGTCGGGGTGGGGTCCCTGCTGTCCCGCTGACCCATTCCTTAATCCTGCAGCGGTCAAGATCAAGAAGAACAAGGACAATGTGAAGTTCAAAGTGCGCTGCAGCCGGTACCTGTACACCCTGGTCATCACGGACAAGGAGAAGGCTGAGAAGCTGAAGCAGTCCCTGCCCCCAGGTATCCCTCGGCGTCCGAAGGGACCCCTCCCGCGCTGGGGCACGGTCTGGGTTGAAGGGGGTAGCGAGAGCCCCCTCCCCGCGGAGGAGCCGCGCAGCAGCCTTGTCCCCTGCGTCCCCCCACCCCGTTCTGGGTCACCGACATGTTCAGGCCGCTCGGTTTCGCTCTCCCCGTCCCTGGAACCGACGCCGCAGTCCGGGTGGATGCGGTTGTTGCCCCTCTGACTCCCCAGCGTCGGCGTTCTCGGAGGGGCTCTGAGCGCCTCTGCCGGGGCCCCCCAGCAGGCGGGGAGAGCTGCCACGGCGCTGAGCCTCGGCTCCCCTTCCGGAGGAGACGCTGGTCCGCGGCCGGGCGGGGAGCGGAGCCTTTCCAACCATTAAGTCGTCTCTCTCTTCTGCAGGTTTGGCCGTGAAGGAGCTGAAATGAGCCGTTCGCCCGTAGGTTTCGCCACGTTTGTTACAATAAATAAAATCCTGAACTGTTCCACGTCACGTTTGTCTTATCCCGACAGCACCGGGCTGAAGCCGTTTGTGCTCCCCCGGGCGCCGCCTCCCCGTTCGGGGGCACAGGAGCCGGTTTCGGCGTTATGAGAGCCCCTGGAGGCCCCCTTCCTTGGGGCGCAGCCCTGGGCGAGGGTCCCCGGCGGCGTCAGCAGGGCCCACGGGGGGATATCTCCCACTGCCCGGGTGGGACTGGTGGCACTGGGAGGCGGTGGGGTGGCCCTGTGGGCAGGGCGAGGGGTCGCCCCAGGCTGAGGGTCCTGAGGGGGCCTCGGGGCCATGGTAGTGGTGCTGCGGGGGCCCCGCGGTCACGCATGAACCCCCGGGGGCCGGGGACGCCTCTGCCTGGAGCTGGGGTCCCTGTGCCAGGGCTGTGTCCCTTCCCTATGGTGCCTCGCCCTATAGCGGGGGGAAGGGGTGCTGTGCCCCTATTGTGGGGAGCAGTGCCCCTATAACAGGGCGGGGATGGGGTGTGGTGCCCCTATAGCAGGGAGGGGATGGAGGAGCAGTGCCCCTATAGGAGGGAGGTGACGGAGGAGGGGTGCCCCTATAGTGGGGAGGTGTTAGAGGAGCAGTGATCCTATAGCAGGGAGGGGATGGAGGAGCAGCCCCTATAGCAGGGAGGATGGGGTGCAGTGCCCCTATAGGAGCGAGGTGATGGGGGACCATTGCCCCTATAGTAGGGAGGGGATGGGTTGCAGTGCCCCTGTGGCAGGGAGAGGGTGGAGGAGCCGTGCCCCTATAGCAGGGAGGGGATGGAGGAGCAGTGCTCCTATACGAGGGTGGTAACAGGGGAACGGTGCCCCTATATCAGGGAGGTGACAGAGGAGAGGTGCCCCTATAGGAGAGCGGTGACAGAGGAGCAGCCCCTGTAGCAGGGAGGGGATGGGGTGCGGTGCCCCTATAGCGGGGAGTTGATAGGGGAGCAGCCCCTATAGCAGAGGGGGAATGGACGAGCAGTGCCCCTATAGCGGGGCGGGGATGGGGAGCGGTGCCCCTATAGCGGGGCGGGGATGAGGTGCCGTGCCCCTATAGCGGGGCGGGGATGGGGTGCGGTGCCCCTATAGCGGGGCGGGGATGGGGGGCCGTGCCCCCACAGGAGGGCGGGGGCCGGGGGGCGGGCCC